GGGGGAGGGGGGGGGGGGGGGGGGGGCGGGCAAACATGCTTGTCTTGTGCAGGGGATGAAAAAAGAGTAACTTTAGATTTGAGCTGTCCAGTAGCCATTAGCTACTGTGACTATTAAACAAAATTAAAAATTCAGTTCCTGTATCACACTAACATTTTGAGTGCTCAGTAGCTTGTGGCTACCGTAGTAGACAGCAGATATAAAATATTTCCAGTTCCATTAGACACCATTGTTCTAGATGTTAAGTATAGTTTAAAATTATTACTACAATTTTAATGGTAACTATTAGACAGACATAAATGTATAGTTTTCAAAGAACATTAGAAGGAAAAAAATAATATTGTTTAAATTGACCTAATAAGAAGCTAAAGAGGGAAAAAAAAAAAAACAACTAAAACATTAGTGTAACTATAAGTAAAAGATAAAATAAGGCTTCAAGGGTATGTCTAAACATATGTAATCACAAATATGAATGGGTTAAATTCACCTCTTAAAAGATAAAAACACTCAGATTACATAAGACAAAATCCAGACATAAGAAACATAGCTAATACAAAGGACACGGAAAGAATTAAAATAAAGACATAGCAGGCAAACAGTAACAAAAAGAGAGCTTGCAACCTAGCTATTGCTATCAAGACAAAAATATGCATATACTTTTTGACCTAGTAGTTCCTAGATACTTCTATCTAGGAATACTTGTAAGAATCTTAACTGCAGCACTATTTAAGGAGCAGAAGACTCCAGAAATGATTTAAATATTTTATCAATAGAAAAACCAGTTCAACCAATTATGGGACTAATATGCGGCTTTTAAAAAGAATAAAGAAGCTCTATACGTACTGATATGAAACCAGTTCTAACATGTATAAAATAAAAAACTACAGAGTGGAAACATCACCATTTGTGTAAACAGAGAAAAAATGTGTCAACCTAGGTTTGCATAGGCACAGAAGGTATTACGTGTAATACACATAATGTATTAATGATACAGAAAAATGAAAGAACACCTAAACAGTAAGTGTCTGTCTCTGGGAGGGGAACTGGGAAGCTAGGGAAAAGTGTTGAAGAAAACCTTTTTATTTATATATTCTTCTTGTAATTGAATTTTATACCGTTGTGCACACATTTCCTAGTCAACAATAAAGTTACAAAAAGCAGGCTTGGAAATATTTAATAGCAGACAAAATAGAATTCAATATGAAAAGCATTATATGAGACAAAGGCAACTTTCAAAAATTGATAAAAGAACATTGCACTAAAAGTCATGAATCTATGCATCTAACAATAGCTTCAAAATACGTAAAACAAGTACTCAGAAATGCAAAGAGGAATTGAGAAATCCACAATCACAGGGAGAGACTTCAACATACTTCTAGAAAGTGATAAGTAGACAAAAATCATAGCTAACACTGGGCACTTCTTATGTGAGTGGCACTACATGCTTTTCATGCATTATCTAAGGCTCTAGAAAATGTTAATAATAACTTTGACAAGACATGTATATGTACCATAAATATCTTCGTACCTGATAAACAGAAAATAAACATTTTTTTCAAACACCAATTAAATAGTCATTGAAGAACAACAGCAATAACCACCCCGGTAAATGTGGCTGGCAAGAGTACAGTGAAATGAACATGACCATTGATTTGGCAACTTATGTATCAAGTGTCTAATATGAAGACTAACTTGGCATTATGTATTAAGTGTCCATGTTCTTTGACATAGTAATTGTCTTTTTGGTAATCTATCCTGAATAAGTAATATAAAATATGGGGGGAGGGGAATAAAAATATAAGAAAATGTTATAAATGCAAATGTTAACATGAAAGGGAATGGTAATAACCATTCACTGGTAAAACCATTCAACAGAATATTATTCTGCCATTCAACCTACACATTATTCTACAAAAGACACAGATAAGCCCAAGTTCATCATTTCTCAGAGTCCACTGCCATGGTTGTTGCTTTTCTTCCAGACATCTGGCAATTACAATATAGCATAAAGTGACTTTATTTAGGCAAGTTAAATATCCATTAACCTAAGACATTTGTTTTGGGATTCTTCAAGTCGAGTCAGATTTGGTCTCTAAGATATAGCAAAGCATGGTGCACACTGCAATGATTCCTGGACAAGTTGAAACTCTGAATTTGAAATTTCTATATTCTTATCTGCTTATTAATGCTTACAATTTGGTAGTTATTTTAAGGGGCACTTTTTTTTTTTTTTTGGCAGCTGTCCTATACAGGGATCAAAGCCTGGACCTTGGTGTTATCAGCATCATGCTCTAACCAACTGTGCTGACCAGCCAGGCCTAAGGGGAAAAATTGAAGCAAGGTTTTTGGGGAAATAATTCCTTATTAGACACAAAATATTTTAAGAAAATTCTTAGAATCAAATATTTATGTAAATACTCTTTTTAAAAAATAGGTCCAAAAGACTCATCCTGGATCAACATTGAAGTTATATCAAGATTTAAGTCTACTTCATGCCAATGAGCTGCTCCTTAGCAGAGGCTGGTTTTGCAATTTGAGGAATGACAGCCACTATGTTGTATATACAAGAGAGCTGGATGGCATAGACAGAATCTTTATTGTGATTCTGAATTTTGGAGAATCAACACTGCTAAATCTACAGGAAATCATTCCAGGTCTTCCTGAAAGAGTGAGAATAAGATTAAGTACCAATTCGGCTTACAAAGGCAGTGTAGTTGATACAAGTGGCATTTTTCTGAACAAGGGAGACGGACTCATCCTGGAACACAACACAAAGAATCTCCTTCACCACCAAACAGCTTTCAGAGATAGATGCTTTGTTTCCAATAAAGCATGCTATTCCAGTGTATTGAACATATTGTACAGCTTGTGTTAGGCACCTCTATGAAAGAGATGAAGACACTGGCGTTCTGTCACAAGCATTTGCAGTAACTTCATGTATAGCATACTGCTGGGTAAACTTTATGAACAGTCATTAATTCTGAGATATTTCTGTAGCTTGAATATAACTGCTTTAGGAAAGGTTCTCAAATGTTTCTGAAAGAATAAAATGTTTATAAGAAAATTGTCACTTGTAGGAACCTGTAACTTTGAGATAGCATCAATAAGAGATGATCAGAACACCTTAGGACCCCAGATTACTTGAAAGCTCTAATGAATTTTGATGTGAAGAATATTATCTTTTTACTTAAAATGGAGTCATAGAAATTGGAGGATTACTCACTGTCATTGTGTCTACAAATGTTCACTAGCAAAGAGGCAGGATACTGATTTGTAAACTGTTTAAAGATAATCCTAGTAAGACAGACAAAACCACAGCTGTTCTGACTGGAAGGGAGGTCTACAGTTCTGCTGTCACCAGTCCTTTCCTTACCCCCTACTCCATGTCCTAAGGAGCATGATTTGAAAACTACTGTCCTAGGTGCATCAATGGACAGGACAGTATAAGCAAATGTGATGTAGACTAAGCAAAATCTGGATGGAGAAGCAAATTTTTAAAAATTATTTAATAACTTAAAAATCTCACTTTTGCTAACCCAAATGGAAATAAGATTATGAAATATTTCAGTGGGTTTCCAATTTCCAGTTGAATGTAGCATTTCAGAATTTTAGATATTTCTTAAGATCCTCGAAAACACTGGTGCTGTCAAGTCCAAGTTCCTCATACAGGAATTTGATTTGGGCTGTAATCTAAAAGAAACACATTTTACAATTAGATAGAAGGCCTTTGTGGTAAAACTCCAGTGTTTAAGTCTCTTTTTGTCTATCTTCACTTAACTCCAAAGTCAGAAGTTTATGGCAAGAATCTTTTTATTTGGGACAGAGGCAGAAGGCTTCAAATAATTAAGATATAATTACTTTCTTTGTGACAGAGATCACTTATCAAGTACAAGAGACAGTCTTTTCTCTTGATTCATTCAGTTCCCTTCCTTTCCCTCCTGGGTCCCAACCACTGACCTGACATTTGCAACATAAACGGTGCCGCAATCACTGGAAACTTGAATACAACACATCCCTACTTGGGGAATCCATCACCTGAGAGGGACTTGATATCATACCTTTTTGTGAGAATCCTCAATCACATGATTGCCTCCAGGCTGAATGTCTAAAATAATATTGGGGGTCTGATAACCTGGAAGAGTTAACATATTAAAACAATTAGAAGGTCTATAGACGATTGAGACCCATTTCACCCCTCTCCTTTTGAGTACTTTACTCGAATAATAGTAAAAGAATAAAGGCAAAAAGCAACATCGCTACCACCAACAAAGAGATAGGAGGGAGCAAGGAGTAGAAGACAAATTTCTGAAACAGGGAAAGCAGGCGGAGGCCCAGGGGCTGACGGATGGAAGAGACTATAGCAACTCCTGAAGAAGGTTGTGACCTAGAAGGTAGTCAGTCGGCCCTGTGGAATCTGAGAGTTTTGTGCCCTTGAAACACCAACTACAGAAATGGGTGGGAGTGAGAAATGGAGCTGAATACCAGAGACTATGTGACTTGTGTGTGGGTCCCTCCTACCCTTGAACCCAGAATGTCTTGGCATGCAGCTTCAAGGCAAAAAGGAAGAGTTATTACCTAATGAAACAGATACCCAGAGGAAATTAAAGCAGCTAATTTGGGCATGGAAGCTCCAGAGCAAAAACCTCAGAATCTGTCTTTTAGAGATTCCCAAAAATAATGGCTCAATAAACACTGCTAAATTAATGAATGATTGTGTGATAGCACATCTCCAAGTTATATATTTAAATTCACTTTTTTTCTTTGTGTCCTGCCTATCTTATTTTAATATTGTCCTTTGAAAAAGAGGTTATAGATACATATACTTCAACTGGGTAGTCAACATAGGAAAACAATTATGTGCTAGTTGATAGCATGAAATATATTACTCTGAACAGTATGCTTAGGGTACTAGTTCACTTAGCCATGTTCCCTGTTTTTAGGCAGTTGCCTACCTTCACCTGTTTCCTTAGCATGCTCCATAACGGCTTCCTTGAGTTTCTCTGTATAACTGACAATTCCTTTCAGAGGTACACGTTCATCATTTTCATAAGCTGTGATGTGAATTGAAGGATAATGCTAAAAAAAAAAAAAAAAGATGTACAGAAAGTTTACATTATTCTTTATGGTCCCTTTCTACCTTATAGATCATTAAAAAGAATTACCTCTAATTTTTTCCCCCAAGTGCTAGAAGTTTTTTCTTATTTGATATTCTTGAGAGAGCCTCAGTATTACAGTACTAGACTACTTGTTACCTGGAATAGCCTTTTCTTGACTAAAGAGACTATGACCTTAATTAAAAGAAGACCTTAATTACCTCTTTTTTTTTTCCTTTTTGTCTTTTTTCGTGACCGGTAACGGGATTGCAACCCTCGGTGTCACGCCTGTACCGCGACCAGCAACGGGATCGCAACCCTCGGTGTCGCGCCCGTACCGCGCTCAACCAGTGAGTGGACCGGTCTCTATATGGGATCCCAACCCTCGGCGGGAGCGCCGCCGCACTCCCAAGTGCCTCACTCTACCAAGTGCGCCACCGGGCCGGCCCGACCTTAATTACTTCTGATTTAGTAATTAAGGCATAACTCTTGGTGCTGAAAGATGTTTGGGTATTATAAGTTGAAACATTTCTAAAGCCCTGCTAATTTCGGCCTCAGCTCAGTGTCCTTTTGATTATCTTTATCACTTTAGGATAATAAATCACAATAGTCTTTTCACTACCTGAGGTTTAATATTTTGATAGGGACAGTAACGTTTTATGTAGTTCTTATGTTTTTCATCTGATGAAGGATTCCCCCATTCTTCTAATTCTTCTAATGTCAGAGGGAGTGTAGTGTCCATCATGGTGTTGAGAACATCCAAGAAAGGTGCCTAAAAATAAAAAGCCAAAGAAACATATCCTTCAGCCAAGAAGTTTGTAAAGTGAGTTTCAGAAAAATATTACACTTTATAAATATACATACTGATATGAGAGAACACAGTTCAAGAAGCCATGTAGATTCCCAGCAGCCAGACTAACTACTCAGTCCTTAACTAAGTCCTGTAATTTGTAATTGCCTTTTAATGTATTCAGACTTCTTAAATGACATTTATGTAGCAAGAAAGGGTTTATCTTCTAATTTCACAATTTTTATTTTTAGTTTGGTGGCTTTTATTCACATATTTTTTTAATATAAAAGTAATAAATGCTCACACCCAGTAGGATTAGGAAAAAAAAAAAAAAATCAATGACCAGAAAATAACAAGGTTTGGCAACAATGTAGAGAAACTGGAACCCTTATGCATTATTGGTCAGAGTGTAAAATGGTATAGCTGCTGTGGAAAGCAGTATGGTGGTTCTTCAAAAACTTAAACTTAGAATTACCATATGATCCAGCAATTGCACTCCTGGGAATATATGCATAAGAACCGAGAGTAGTGTTTCAAAGAGGTATCTGTAACACCCATTTTCATAGCAGCATTATTCACAATAGCCAAAAGATGGAAACAACCCAAGTGTTCATCAACAGATGAATGAATAAGCAAAAGGTGATGTACACATACAATGGAATATTATTCAGCCTTAAAAAGGAATAAAATTCTGACATATGCTACACTATGGATGAACCTGAAGGATATAATCCAAGTGAAATAAGCCAGTGACAAAAAGTAAATTCTGTGTGGTTCCACTTATATGAGGTATCTACAGTAGTCAAAGTCATAGAGACAGAAAGTAGAAGGTGGTTTCCAAGGGCTGGGGGAAGAAGAGAACTAGGGGAGTTGTTTACTGGGTAATGAGTTTCAGTTTTGCAAGATGAAAATTGAGTTCTGGAAATTGACTGCACAACCATGTGAATGTACACTGAACTGTACACTTAAAAATGGTTAAGATGGGGGCTGGCCCGGTGGCGCACTGCTACAGTGCGCTGTTTGGGAGTGTGGCGGCGCTCCCGCTACAGCAGTGATTATCTTTATCACTTTAGGATAATAAATCACAATAGTCTTTTCACTACCTGAGGTTTAATATTTTGATAGGGACAGTAACGTTTTATGTAGTTCTTATGTTTTTCATCTGATGAAGGATTCCCCCATTCTTCTAATTCTTCTAATGTCAGAGGGAGTGTAGTGTCCATCATGGTGTTGAGAACATCCAAGAAAGGTGCCTAAAAATAAAAAGCCAAAGAAACATATCCTTCAGCCAAGAAGTTTGTAAAGTGAGTTTCAGAAAAATATTACACTTTATAAATATACATACTGATATGAGAGAACACAGTTCAAGAAGTTAAGATGGTAAATTTTGTTATTTTACCATAATTAAAAATTTAAAAAAACGAAAAAGCCCTCAACAATATATGAATAAACTCTTTTTCACCCGTTGAACATTTCACATTAAAAGTGATAAATGCTAATTAAAGAAAATCTGGAAAATATCCAAGGTGAAAGAGAAAACCACCTGTTGACTCATAACCAGTGTCAAAACATTTAATAAAACGAGGCTGCTTTTTTCACTTTGCTTTATATCCTTCCATTAACATGCTTTTCAGTTTCCCCTCATAGTAACATTAGTCAAGTACATTGGGCATCTGTAATTCTTTTTGACTGCCTCGCATCTGAATTCCTTTTCTGCATTTGGAAAATCCAGTCTTATCAGACAGAGCCTGCCTCTCACTGGAGAGATACTAAATGCCAGATATTCCCTTTCCCAGCTCTCCCTGAAGCTTGGGAGTAGCCACATAACCTTAGGTCTACCAATCAGAAGACATGTGCTCCAAAATTTGAATGAGAAGTTAGTGGTTCAAACAAGTAGTGATCATGAAGAATTTATTCTGGCAAAGGTGCCACAGCTACATCCAGTTTCTAGAAGCAGCACTGGCAGTGTGAATTGATTTGTGCTCAGAATGGCAATAGTAATAGCTTGACTGGGCCAGTTTTATGTTCTGGCTGTGCAGCCCCTAACACTGGCTCTGAACATACCTGCCCTTACCCAGAACCCTTTCATAAATCTCTTTTGTGCTTAAATTAGTCAGAGTCGGTTTTTGCTGCTTATAATTAAGAATGTTGACTCATACATGAATCCCCTATTGTTA